CTTATGCCATGGCATGTCCTAACACTTAGCATGTTGGACTGCGAACCAGCGCACATTTTGAAATTAAGAAATTACTCACCAACTGAAATTACTCAACAACAATGCTGTTAAGGGAACCACAGACCGTGAAAAAGAATATGGATTGGAAAAGTTCAGGATTTCCTGGTTACATTTCATTTTCAACGCTTACCGCTCAATCCCATTGCCACGAACACGCCAGCTCGAAGAGGCCGAAAACGAGATTCACTAAATTTGTCCCAGAGTGAAACGATTATAGCTCCTGGAATCACGGCGTCTCATAACGAAGTTCCAACAGTGGTAAATAAAGAAAAAAGGCACAGTTGGCAAAGGAGGGGCATTTTGCACTTTTTGCTACTTCCGGTAGACGTGTCGGGCCATCAAGTGAAGACCTGTGAATTCTTGTGAAGCCATGGAATAGTGGTGGCTTTGAGCGACAGTGAAGTTCACAGGCTTCACCTTGTAAATCGGAACTTGTGAAGCAGCGAGGGTGCAAAACTGCCCCACCAGCGGCGGCCGAACACCGAAACATCGCGCCAGGAAACACCGTTCGGATACAAAACCAAACCACACCACCAGCCAAAAAACGAACGCCCACATAAACCCAAAACCGCGACGACACCATAGCCACCGGCCACACACCATCCGCAATTAATAACGTACCCAACTCAATGGCCGCGAACTCACCCACACTCATCCACAGCAAAATAGAATCACGGAATAACACAATTTCACAACCGGGAACTTAAACGAATCGCAAAACTCAGCAAACACGCACCGCCAACACCAGAATACAGAAAGGCTCAGCCACCTCTGCCCGGATCTATAGATAGACCAGCTCGACAACTCCTGCTAGTAGAATAGGGAGAAGTATGCAGAATGAGGATGAGCAGACAGCTGGATAAGGCGTCGTGAAGTTGCGGCGTATGCAACCGTACCGTACTACTACACAATACCGAACATTAAATTGCTTTAGCAGTTGTACGGTGTGATTGCACACCATAACTCCACGACGCCTAGTCTAGCTGTCTGCTCCCCCTACTTCCATATTCTCTACCAGCAGTCTGCTACCTTTCTATTTCTCCATACTCGCCAATCCTGGACGTTGGTGGATGCTGGTTGACGTTGGCGCAAAGTATGAACGCAGCTTCACCGGGAATCCTTCTCCCTTCCCATGTTACTACGTCATGACACTTAAGTTCCAGCACATGGCGTGATGGATTGCGGACCTAAAGTGAATCCGAAGAATAATAAAATGAAATATAAAATAACTGCACAGCTTGCAATCAGTTACTTTGCCGCATTTTGCTTTGAAGGGCATCAATGTCCATCATAACTTGGGAGCGAATTCATCAGTTTTTTTTTTAGTTTATGTCATAGCTAGTGTTATTTATAATATATTTTATTTATTTTGTGATTATATTGCATTATTTTTTATTCCTAATCGGTGTGGGATATACGAGCATAGTTTTTAAATGTTGACTGGAAAACCGTGCACTCTACCACTTGTGTCTCGGAGTTTTCGATAAGGGTCAGCGGGATCAAGGGAACGCAGTCTAACAAGGGGAGTTCTTTCGGGTCGTGGTTGCGCTTTGGGAAACTGGTTTGTTGGGCTTGATTGTAGGGGTCCAATACGAAGATCACAAAACTGAGGTTTTTTTTGCTGTACGTTTCTGGGGACTCAAAAGACTTCGTGAAAAGAATTTGGCAAGCAATGGCGGCGGATTTTAACCTGTCTGTATGGCTCTCCTTGCTGATTGTAACTTCGAAACATGCACAGTTTATGGGGTGGTTGATTGAGCTTCGAAAATAGTTCTGAATCAAGTCAAAATGTAAGTATCATGGAGTAACACACTTGGTGTGCACCGACGCAACCAGTGGTGTTTTTGTCAGCGGTGTCCTCATGCTCATGTCACCGCTGACAAAAACATCACTGTTGCGTGCCGGTGCATGCCCATTGTGTTAGCACATTATACTTACATTTTAACTTTAATTCTTAGAACTATTAAGTCTAATTACACGAGCACCTCATAACTGTGGCATGCTGAAGTTACAATCAGAACGCAGCCCATCAACGACTAGTAAAATCACACCCATCCCTTGCAAATCTTTTCACTCAGTTTCTTGACCTCCCCAGAAACGCGTAGCAAAAATGAAACCCGTTTTTAAGATCCCTGTATGGACCCCTACAATAAGCGACAAACCATTTCAGAAAGCGCCAACGCCTGAAGACTGCTCCCTTGTAAGATTCTGTAAGTACGGTAATGGGTCTGGTGCCTTCACTAGACGTACAATTTTTTTCGGATTTTTTCGAGGTCTTTTTACTCACTCTGGTCTTTTTGTGTTTTCCACTTTTAATTATAGACTTTCCATTGAGAGTCACAAAGCGCCGTGTTTGCTAGGCCTTTTTCGCAGAAATTGAACAGCTCAATCTCACTAGGCTTTTTGTCTTGAAAGATCTCTTTTGTAGTCGTTTTTTTAGGAGTTTGCGAATATTCCGAAAATATGGGAAAATAATCGTTTGAAATATCGGAACAAGGAGTCCCCTGTGACAGTTGCAATTTTTTTTTACAATTGATTTTTATGTTTCCAGGAATTGTTCCGCACATCACCTACATAATTAACTCTGATGGCTGTTCCTCTTATTCGAAGACAATGCGTTTCACTGGCTCCTACTTATGGCTTTCCTTTACCTACTTGGGGCTCTCCTTTACGCAACTCGTACTCCGGAGCGGTTTTTCCCAGGAAAATGTGATATTTGGGTGAGTTCCACTGAAATGGTTCTCTCGTTCTTCTCTAATTTCTAGTAATTCTTGTTGCAGTTTTTCTGATAGTCTTGATAGGGGGATGTATCGTAAATATGGAAATTGCAAAGCGCGAGTTCTTGCGCTGTTCGGTGTCGAGGGCACTTTGCGCTTTCACTGGTTCCTTTTGGTGCTTCTTGTTAACTGACAGTTCAGGCTTTGATGCGGCCTGAAAGCGAAACTGTGAAGTGCTCCGAGGGATATGGGGTACAAGACAACCGTACTGTGCCGCGCGCTGGTAGCGTGGCGTGCGCGATGACGCCGACTGACAGACATAGTGTGTCCTTATCTGACCATCTGAAGCTGTTGTCATGGGTTCGACGGGGAAAGTTTGTGTGGCTCATCATAGAGTATTGCCTCCACTTTAATTCATACGAATTTCGCTGTTCCAGTCGACAAAATGAAGCACAGTGGAGTCGACAAACTTGCCGCTCATCACCGGCGGACGCGGACGATTTTAGCTTCGATTACGACGTTTTGGTGCCGTCTCCTAGGGTATCACTTCAGGACAGGGATTTTCCGATCTTATTGCATGATGCCTGCGCAGCTTTGGTAAGTATATTAAGTGGCTTCCATAGGAGCTCAAACTGCCCCCTTTTATGGTAATATCAGCAGGGAAAGGGTCTTCCATAGTTGTTAGAGTAACTGATTCTGCAATATGATGCACTTCGACTCTGGAGGGGGGGGGGAATTTCATTTGCGGCTTTCCATCGTCGTGTTCTTTGCTTTCGCAAGAGTTGACAGGTATTCTTTACAAGAATTGACAAGTACTTTCTAAAAACTTAGACTTGATGGCTCGACACAACGATGGAAAGCAACGAAAGTACAGAATGCCTCTCCCTACTGCAAGCCGAACTGCACCCAGGATATTACTAGTAGCACTAAAGTATGCATATATGGGGGAAAACCGATCTGTGTGTATCTTTCTTTCGTGCCAGATCGTGCCAGTGTCACAAAGCGACTGACCTTTTGACATATTTACCTTGACTTAATTTTTTTCCGATTATTATGATAGATTTATGTTGATTCAACTGATTTTTTTGTTTACAGTTTCAATCCCATCAGCTGTTCCACACATGTGTTGTGATAGCTGCATTCGTCCATTACTACGGCATATCGGAGATGGCATGGATGAGGCTGAACGGTCAATGTCCAGCCGATGCACTTTCATTTCTTTCACGAAATGAATTGTAATAGTTACAATGAGCTCTAGATTAATAATAATTAAGTAATCGTGCAGGGTCAAAAAATGCACCTCAACTAGTCTTCTAAACTCAGCGTTGTGACCCGTCTTCCTCGTATTGGCTCCTCCTCGTCGTCGTCGTCTTCCCTATTTCAAATGTTCTCCGGTGTATCCATCTGTCTTCCCTCTACTTGTCGATATATTTCTTTATTTCGTATATAGGTATAGTTCAGTCTTGTTCGCTGCGGATGCTGGGGCGTGTCAGGGGGCGTGGTTTGGCTCTGCGCCCCCACCTTTCTTTACCAATCATAGAAGCTGGCAAACGACCGCAGTTGACGGAAAACGGGCTGGCACAGAGCCAAAACCAGTCCCTTGACCCGTCCCAGTATCCGTAGCAAACAAGGACTGTATACGCCACACTATGGCGATTTTTTAGAAGAATATTTTTTCTAGGACTCTGTTCTCCACTTATGTAAGGATGACTCACTTAATAATTGTTCTTCCTCTGCTGACACTCTCGTCTGTTTTCACTTGATGAATCTATGTTGTATATCGCTGTTCTTCTAGTATCGTGATTGTCATGTGACGTGATGTGCGTTAAAAGCGATTGCCAGAAATATTTGGTCCGCTTATGCCTTTATCATTGAGTGCTTACATGTATTCGTCTGCTGATTAATTTGAAAAAACAAAAATGTAAATAACCCTTGTGTAATTCATAAGTGCAATCGAAATATTGGAGTGAAGATAGTTGACGAGGGTCACGTGGCGTCGCGGCTATACGCGTTAAGCTGCTTTGTTTTTTCAAATGAATTAGCAGACGAATACATGTAAGCACTCAATGATAAAGGCATAAGCGGACCAAATGTTTCTGGCAATCGCTTTTAACGCACATCACGTCACATGACAATCACGATACTAGAAGAACAGCGATATACAAC